TTTGACATGTATATGCAGCAAATATATATATTAAGAGAAACTATATTGTTTACTATTAATTTGAATATAAATACTAGTAAACAATCTAAACTCTTAAACCCCAACCAAACACACTCAAATAAGCACAAAATTAACAAGGATGTTTTTCCAACTAGAAATCCCTTCTAGGTTTAGATGCTTGGTAACGAAAGAAGCATTTCATATAACAGAACTCTGAATCTAGAAGGTAATACCATTTGCTTGTTAATCAATATAACAAAACATTGGTTTGGTTTAACTCAATTTAATAACCTTGTCAATAATAGAACTTAATAAAGATCCACATTAACATTTGGTTGTTTACTAACAATTAAGTTTCAGCATCCACATACAACAATTTCATAGAACAAACTAAGTGTAAGTTCTCTTGGGTATTTAATCAAACACCTTGCAAGCATACATGAATTTATCTACTCAACCAAAAATATCCATTTGCCAGCACCCACAATTTCACACTCTTCAGCATCCAAAAATATCAACAACCATAATCATACGGATCAACAAAATTCCAAATTATAATAAAAACCTCACCACTTGCCAACACCTTTTGTTGTTGTTGTTGCAATTGGATGATCACCGCTGCAAATTAAAGCGAAATTCTCCCTTTGTGTCTCTGCCTCAGAGCAAGAGTGAGAGCGTGAACTTCCCCCTCAATATTTTACAATTCTGGGGATTTAAGTTTTGAGAATCATTTTCCTTCTTGAGACTTGGAGTTGATGAGATCATCTAAGACTAGAAAATAGAGAGAGTTCCAGAGAGTTCCTCCAAGGAAAGTCGGGATTTTTTTTTCTCCCCCTCTCTGATTGGTTGCTGCCTTCCTCACCTTATTTTCTGATTGGTCCACAAATACACATACCTAATTGACCTCCTGGGATTTGTGTAATTGGTCCACAATCACTAATCTGATTGATCTTCTTTCCCACAAGGTGATAGTTCAAATAACTTAAAATCTAAAGTTTACAAAAATAGCTTCAAATGTCCGTAACTATACCGTTATAATACGGACTCACAAACGGTTTTCGCTTATGCTCTCGTAGTTACGAGATCTATTCGAAGACACTAATTGTGACCTCGAATGGTCAATGAATTTTAAAGATTAAAATACAAAAATTCAAACCCGATAACTAAACGATTTAATTCCTAAAATGAACGGAATTAAAATTAACTAATGAAAATTGCGTAAACCTATAATACAAATTTAAATAACGAGATACGTAATTAATAGTGAAATTTTGGGGATGGGATTTCACACCATGTGCCAAGTTGCGCTGCCGCAACGTACCAACCTAGGTCATCAACGAAGGATGTGAATCTTTGTCGATTATGATTCTCTTTCACTCCAGCTCTCTTCGAGCCCTTGCATGCGATCTCTTTACCGCTCATTTGCGGGTTGTCAATTTTGAGCGGACGTTGCCCACTATGTCTCATCTCGATCTCCGTATCGCACATGTGTGATAAACAAGTGTGATAAACAAGTGCGATGAATTCTAGCTTACAGAATGTTACTCTAGACATATTCCTCTGATCTAGCTAAAGTGACGAGATCATATACCAACTGCAAACATGCCTGCAAAGATAAATGTACCTAACGAACATCAAGTCAACATCCCTGGACGGTGTGCCACCCTTGTTAGACCATTTGGACGACCCTGTTGGACGGTCCGGTACATCGACGGTTAGCCAATCAATCTGTCTTGGCTTGGAGCATGACATATCACTCGGTTCGTAGGATTAACTTCCTTGGAAAAGGAAGACACAACACAACAATGAATCTAAACTCGATTGCTGTCTCAAATCATTTCCATCTCATTAGATTAATCCGAATTACTCCCGAAACGTGAAGTTCTTAGTCCAATACACTAGTTTGGATGAGTTAAATGGAATTGAAATGAGATTACCATCGATGCTGTTTTCACTTATATGGTAGCTACTGCCATAAATGAAAAGCGACGATATCAAACCGTATTCCGTCGATTAAGTAACAACGTAGAACTGATTGGACAACCAAAATTACAATCCAGGTCAAATTCCTTACCAAAATGTGTATTAGACCTCTCGTTCCTACAATGCCCAAGGTAACCCTGTTGCGTTACAAATGGGAAAGGAAACATTATGAGATGAATGAAATAATGCGATAGGATGCATGCCTTATGGCGCAAGGTTTCTCTCAAACGTCCTGTGATTGATGTGTGGTTAGTGTTGTCTCCATGGGGATATAGAAATGGAGATTTACATGTAAGTTCCCGAAGAATTACATGAATTGGTTCAAATAGTTCCAAACCACAGAACACCCTCTTAACTTGTTTGAGGCGTTCACTTACAATCCGACGGATATGGTATATCCGTCTAAATGATTATTTGATCAGTCAGGGATGAATTATGCCCTTGCATGTTAAACTATGAAGTTTTATTCCGAATTGCTAGAGTTACAGTTTATATCGTTGACACAAATCTCACTAAGACTCAGGAAGAGCTTAAGAAAATTGCCTCGCACCTGAAGATGGAATTTGAGATGAAGGATCTTGGGAAAACTCATTTATGCCTTGACCTGAAGTTGAAGCATTATTCTGACGGTATTTTGGTCTACCAATCGAACTACACCCCGAATGTGTCACTTTTGAGTATAACTTTGATCGTCCATATGTTATATGCAAATGAGACCCTTGAAGAGGTTATGGAATCTGAAATTCCATATCTAAGTTCAACTTTGCACTTCGTTGTACTTAGCTCATTGTATTTAGACAAGACATCTCATTCGTTGTTGATCTTGGTAAAGATGCAACACCATGCCTACAAGCATCCATTGAATTGGTATTAAAAATGCACCCTGAAGGTACTACGAGGGCAAATCCCAACGCATCTTGAGTGGATCCAACCCCCTAACCCTTGAAATGATGATTGCTTTGTTTGTTATGTTGACGCTGGTTACTTATTAAACCCCCACAAGGCAAAATCCCTAAATGGTTATGTCTTTACCGTTAGGGATATTGCAATATCTTGGAGGTCCACGATATGACCTTAGTTGCGAAATCTTCGAATCGTTCCAAGACTCACCTTACTTCAATACGCTACAAGTAAGACATGGTTATGAGTTATTGTTGAGCATATTTGAAGTATTTGCTGTGTTTTCATCCATCGTTGAGTCCCAACGACGATCTATGAACATTATGCCGCATGAATCAACCCGACCAAGCCATGATACATCAATGAAGTCAACGCCAAGACATATTGCGCCTACATCTACATCAGCAAAACATCTGGAGATTGAAGTCATGCAAACCGATCCCAGACAACCTTGCCGACCTCTACACGACGTCACTGCCGAAGTCAACCTTCTAGAAGCTTGTTCGAGGACTTGATATGTCTAACTATTAGTATGCAATGCTTGTAGTTCTATTTGGAAGTTATGTCAAACTCAGGGGGAGTATCTATAAGTATACTCACTTGATCTTAATGTACTATTTTTTCCTATGATTAGGAGCATTTTCCCACTAGGTGGCGCCCATATTGACACGTGGCATCCAGTCATTGTCCATATAGGCGTCACGTCATCAGTTAACGGCTGATTTAACAGCTAGACTAACGGATATATGAGACTGTCCAACAATTAACACTTTAGGTATGACTATGGGAAGAAAAAACTTCATGTACCAAATGTTGAAAACCACGAAACTTGAGGGTAGTAAACTGTCCCAAATTATCCGTATACTCATATATACTATATTACAGTGATAGATCTTAGGTTCTATTCTGTTTTATCAAGCATATGGCCAATTCGTGGCCTACCCTCACTGGCCACATGTCGTTCGTGGCCATTGGCATCAATAGCCACATCAGAATCCATGGCCATTGCTAAAATTTCTAGTAATGTAGACCGCAAGGTTATCGTGGAAAATTAAAGAGGGCACTTCACAATTTTTTATACAAACGGAAAAAAATGTAAAATCATAACCAAAAACATAAAGATCTATTTATAGCAATACAAAAACAATTGTTCGGTCAACAAATAACTCCCAACTCAATAAAGATTATAAAAAAATTCTAAAATTATTAATAATAGACATTTTAGCCAAAATGATAGTTGAGATTGACATGATTTTTTTTCGTTTGACGGGCTATATTTGTCGTTAGCACAATGTAGATGATCTCATCAATTCATTGGGGTTCTATTAATTTTCACAAGAATGAACCTCAACCTCAACCTCAACCTTAAGAACGACCTAAAGAATAGACAATTTTGATTAGTAAATTGCAGTGCAGAATTATGTGAAAGAACAGAAGATGTTGGCGTGAGAATTCAAGAACTACAGAAAGAGAGTGAAAGCACCGAGAGAAGAGTTTATAGAATTGCAAGAAGATGATTGTTTTCTCATTGATTTCGATATCTTCCAATACAAGAAATGTACTCAGTAAGTTAATCTTAAAGGATAAGATCTTCTGACAAGTGGCATTCTATGATCCTTTGATTTCATCATTCTTACAGTTGGCATGCATTTTAAAATATGAAAACACCCTCCTCTGTGGAAGTTGATCGCATAGCATGTGATACATATAAAACTACGGGCATTTAGAATTAGATGCCTCATTATGCTATTTGTTAGATTAAATATCTATAGCTTTTAGATTTTTTATTAAATATTTTTCTACATTTTAGGTGCCACATGTATTATAAGTAGCATTTTATTACTTCAAAATTACACAATTTTCCATTATATATAACGTACTAATTAATTAATTATTATTATATTAATATTCCAAATCTCCTAGAATTAGTAGACGTATGTTTTAAAAATCTAAGAACTATTCAAATTGAATCTATACTAAAACTGGAAAAACACTGATTCACTGTTCATAAGAACAGTGTACTCCCTATTTTGCCCCTGATAAGTTTGTTTTAGTACATTTCTGCCACTTTACCAGAAAATATATATACAGTTTATTCTTTCTTTTCTTTTTCGTCTTCTCCCTTCTGGCCGTTTCTTCTCGCTCCTCTCCGCGACTCACCACTTTGGTCGGCGACGAGTTCGTCGTTTCCGGCAACTACAAGCCAACAAACCACCGGAAAGAAACCCTCTCCTTACATTCAATATAACCCTTAAATCTATTTCTAAAAATTCTCATCCATTTTTATTTATTAAGTTGGTGCCCAAGGCGAACCGTTTCCGGCTGAACGCCGACGAATTGGACCTCACCGTTACAACCAATCGTCTACCCTTCATCTCAGAAATCAAAATCACCCGTTGCATGCCTCGATTCATTACGGTTTAAGGTGAATCAAAGGTAAAGCTTAAATTTTCATACAAAGTTTGTATTTTTCTTGATCAGAATTTGGGCTTTTTTATCCTTTTACTGAATAGTTGTTAAGAAATATTAGAATTATTAATTGTTTTGGTTTCTTTTGAATTTGTTCTTATTTTATTTTGAACCCTTGAATTTTTTTTTTATTTTTCTATTAACTGAGGATGAAATTTATTCTTATTTTTCTATTAATTGAGGATGAAATTTAGTCTTTCTTAACAATTACTGTAGGTTCTAAGTCCTCAACGCCCAGTTACGTAGCCTGCTCGATTCCAATTCTTATTTAAGGGTATGATGCAAAACCCATAATTTCTTGGTCAGTTGGCTTCTACTGAGACTATGCAGGTATACTTATTCGGGGTTTCTAATCTTTGCTTACAGTTTGAACAAAAAATTAAAAATTAAAAAAATCTTTGCTTACAGAGAGTTGATGACTAGGCAGTGATTTCTATTGAGCACCAGTTATTTGCACCCCTTTTTCCCTCCTTCCATAATTGAAGTGCTTTTGACTTTCGGAAGTAATGATTTACAAGATAAAATTGTTGATTTTGTTTCATCCATTTGTGTTTCCTTTTTCAAAAATTAAGATAGAAAGGGAATGCTATGGTAATTTGGGGTTTTCGTTTTGATATTCATATGTGTATAAAAGGGTTTAATAGATATCGTTTCTGTGTGTAGGTGGTACTCGGAGAAGTTTGTGAAGGGCCAATGGGAAAAGGGGATTGCATTTCAGATTGGCAGAAATACAAAGCCTGCCTCTCTGTGAGTTTCCAATCTTAAATTTTCTTCCAAATCACAATTTATATGATTAATTTGCTTATTCCTTTTTCTGGGATTTGAGTTTTTATCTCCTGATTATTTTTTGCAGAGATTGTATTAATTTTCCTTTGACTAGGAATTTGGGGTTTCTCAGGTATAATGTTATCAAACTTTATTTTCTAATTTTCTGATTTTGGGGTTTTGCAGGGAGTGATATATACTAATTTTTTGGGATTTTTGGTCCTTGCAGAGTTTTCATTCGCCGGACAATGATAGGCGAATCACCATAAGAAGCAGCAATTCTGTTGCAAACTGAATCCGGGATGACTAACCTAGAGTCTGTAAGTTTCCGAACTTAAATTGTATTTTCTCTCTCTTTCTGCCCTTCAGAAGGGTTTTGGTTTTTCGCTTTCCTATACTTATTTATCTGAAAGCACCTTAATTTTGTGTTTAATTTGTGTTTTTGTGTTATGAATTCTAAATTTTGCATTTAATTTGGGTTTGGGTTTTGAATTTTGAATTTTAGCATGATTATGCTATAATTTACTAGGATCTGTTTTTTTGAATTGTTGATTACTGAGAAGAGTGAGTATATTGTGAAGGAGAAATGATACATATATTTTTTTTTACTATAATTTTGGTTTCGATGATAAAATTTGGATTTGCCCATTTGGGGATTTTCCAATTTAGAACCTAGGAAACAAGTAGCAGATGCAGAGGCACTGTTGGGCAAAACTAACAAATTGTGGACCTCTGTTAAGTCACAGTCCAGTGACGGGATTAGCCTGTCCGACTTTGTTACTGCTTTGCTTAATAATTTTAGCCAACCGAAAGGAAAGGATGACCATGTCTCGGTTTATTGGAAGGAAATTGGGTGTGCTGTTTTGCCTATTTTCAAGAGCGCTGATGAGTGTTGCACTATGCGAGTTATTTGTTTCCAGTGTTCGAATGCATTCATTTATTCACTCTCAAATTGCATACGATAAAGCAGATGAAAAATAGGGGAATAAGGATTTTATATGTACCTTCAGGATGACATATAAACTGTGTCTTAGCTTTACTTATGTGTCCCCATTTGTTTTCTCATATGTTGTACTACTGTTTCGAATTAAATTTAACAAACCATCCCCCGCACTAACAACTCTATTTTTCAAAATTTGTAGCAACCAATTGAAAACTCTTGCAGAGGAAGACTCAGAAAAGAAAACCCCTCTACATAATGAAGATAGAGATGAGCTCGAGAATAATGTAGGAAAATCTACATCCCAGTAACATGTTCATAATCGATGGACAATATTTCGAGCGATGAGCGGTTGAATAATTCCAATCTTTTGATCTGTGTAACATGGTGCTAAGTTAGCCTCCTCAAACAGTAGATATGTATATATGTAAATAGCACAAGACTTACTATAACATGAAAAGCAGCATATAAAGTATGTTATAAATGTAAACAACACCGTAAATAGTATCAGCTTTTGTAATTGACACTAAAAAAATATCATCTTTATGTGTAAACATATTATATATAAATATTACCACCTTAAACTGTCTTAAAACCCGCAGCATCGCGCGGGGTTCAATTGCTAGTTTGATCTATTTCTACTTCTAACGTGATATATACTTCTACCATTTTCTTCCACAACTATTCAACAATATTTTCGTGCCATTTCTTCGTAAGGTCAGTTGACACTCTTCCATTCTTCCTTGTCAGTTATATTCATTTCCTTTGTATTTTCGTTTTATGCACCTCTTGATTTGAGTATCCGTATCATGGTACATTTGGAAAATAGATTATAGTGGTACATGGTATTAGGTACGTTTCAATTTAGCATTGTACATTTGAGGATCCTTACCATGGTACATTTGAGAAATAGAGTCTAGTGGTAGATGTTAAAAGGTATGTTTCAATTTAGCATTGGTATATTTCTTGCCGATATGTTGGGAAGTTTCAATTTGGCATGGGTACATTTTTATAAGTAGCGGTACATTTCAATTTGACATTGGTATGTTTTAAGCCAATATTGGTACGTTTCAAATTGGCACATGTACATTTCTATCAGTATCGGTATGTTTCAATTTGGCATTGGTATGTCTCAAGCCAATATTAGTACATTTCAACATGACATGGGTACAATTCAAATTAGGCATATGGATAGACGGAGAAACACACATTAACCATATATGCAATCCTCTTCTTTAATGGAACCTCCTCTTTGTTCTTCATGAATCCATTTTAAGAAACTCCTTATTTGGGAAAGAAATCAAGATGTTTGTAGTGTTCAAATGGCATAGTAATCGTAAAGATCACAACATACAAAGCAAGAGTTCTTCTTTCAGCACTAAATGAAACAATGATGGATCTTCTCCATCAAAAAATCCTTAATGCTCTACTTGAACCAATACGTTTATGGTTACACCATTCCTTAAAGCAGCATAACCAATTATTAGGTATACTTGTTGAACCATGAAACGTACCTCAAGTTCTGCAAAATCTCTGCCGAAGATAAACAACATGAGGTACAGATAATATACAAGAGAAAGTGAGTTGCAACAGAAAAAATAAAAAAAAATAAAAAAAATAGTTCAAAATTCACTTCTTGGTCCAGTATACTGGTTTGGATGAGTTAAATGGAATTGAAATGAGATTACCATCAATGATGTTTTCACTTATATGAGCTACCGACATAAATGAAAAGCGATGATATCGAATCGTGTTCCGTTGATTAAGTGACAATGTAGAATTGATTTGACAACCAAAATACAATCCAGGTCAAATTCCTTACCAAAATGTGTATTAGACTTGTTGTTCCTACACTGCCCAAGATAACCCTGTTGCGTTACAAATGGGAAATGACACGTTATGAGATGAATGAAATAGTGCGATATGATGCACACTTTACGACGCAAGGTTTCTCTCAAACGTCCTATGATTGATAGCAGCATTATGAAATATGGTTAGTGTTTTCTCCATAGGGATATAGATAAGGAGATTTACATGTAAATTCCAGAAGAATTACATGGATTAGTTCAAATAGTTCTAAACCACGGAACACCCTCTTAATTTGTTTAAGGAGTTCACTTACAATCCGACGGATGTGGTATATTCGTCTAAGTGATTATTTGATCAGTCAGAGATGAATTATGCCTTTGTATGTTAAACTATGAAGTCTTATTTCGAATTGCTAGAGTTACAATTTATATCATTGACACAAATCTCACTAAGACTCCGGAAGAGCTTAAGAAAATTGCCTCGCACCTGAAGATGGAATTTGAGATGAAGGATCTTGGGAAAACTCGTTTATGCCTTGACCTGAAGTTGAAGCATTGTTTTGACGGTATTTTAGTCTACATCCTGAATGTGTCACTTTTGAGTATACCTTTGATCGTCCATACGTTATATACAAATGAGACCCTTGAAGAGGTTATGGAATCCAAAATTCCATATCTAAGTTCAACTTTGCGCTTCATTGTACTTAACTCATTGTATTTAGACAGGACATCTCCTTCACTGTTGATATTGGTAAAGATGCAACACCACGCCTACACGCATCCACTAAATTGGTATTAAAGATGTACCCTGAAGGTACTATAAGGGAAATCCTAACGTATCTCGAGAAGATCTAACCCCTCTGATCCTTGAAATGATGATTGCCTTGTTTGTTATGCTGACGTTGGTTACTTATCAAACCCGCACAACGCAAAATCCCCAAATGGTTATGTCTTTACTGTTAGGGATATTGCAATTTCTTAGAGGTCTACGATATGACCTTAGTTGCAAAATCTTCGAATCGTTCCAAGACTCAGCTTACTTTAATATGCCACAAGTGAGACATGGTTAAGAGTTATTGTTGAGCATATTCGAAGTACTTGCTGTGTTTTCATCCATCGTTGAGTCCAAACGATAATCTATGAAGATTATGCCGCATGTATCAACCCAACCAAGCCATGATACATCAACGAAGTCAACGCCAAGACATATTGCGCTTATATCTACATCAGTAAAGCATCAGGAGATTGAAGTCATGCAAACTAATCCCAGACAACAATGCCGACCTCTACACAACGTCACTACCGAAGTCAACCTTCTAGAAGCTTGTCCGAGGAATTGGTATGTCTAACTATTCATATGCAATAATTGTAGTTCTCATTTGGAAGTTATGTCAATCAGGGGGAGTATCCATAAATATACTCACTTGATCTTAATGTACTATTTTCCCTAAGATTAGGAGCATTTTTCCCATTAGGTTTTTGCTACCTAACTAGGTTTTAACGAGGCACCCATCTTGGGCTCTTCTACTTGCGTCCAAAAGACGTATAATTTTGACTTAATGCAACTTCTCACTTTTCTCCTTAGACTATGAGTTTTTTTTCCACCATAACGAGGTTTTGTGAGTTTTACTTTTTATGCATTCTTCTGTTGATTTAAAACTCACATTCACTCATTGTGCCGATGACTTCATCAACTGTACTTGCTTCATCGTTGAAGACCTGATGTGCCATTTACTTGAGTATTTACACACTCAAGGTGGAATAATACATACCTCACAATTACACATCTCTTTCTTCTCTCCCTATATGTTGTACCCTCTTTCTTCATATGATTTCCGTAATTGTTTAATAAATTATGCCTACAATAATGAATTTATCGGGAATGGGATTTACTTTCGAAACTCACGGAATGAGAAATTTCAACTATTTAAAAGAGACAAAAAGATCAGAATCATTCAAATTTTTTAATTTTTGTAAAATGGAGTAATGAAGCCGTATGATTGATGTTGAGTGTCCTGATCTATCGGCCGCATTCTCCGAACGCCAGGTCATGGTCAAGAGACGGAAAATCCAAGGCAAGCCCTGGCATGGTCTAGCACAGCATTAATTATTCAGCAAGCGTGATTACAAGGCTAAGAGCCTTCCCATTCACCAATTTAAACAGACAAGTATAGAAATTGGCTGCAGATGAAGCTATCATCAAGTTGGAAAGTAAATTATACTCTCCAAAAACCAAACATATGTATGCAAGCCAAGGCCGTCTTTCATATTTTGGGGCCTTTGTGCGAATTTAATAAAAAGATTCTCCTTATTTAAAATAGGGACACTTTGGATACGGTCCCTAGCTATCAATATTCTTTGATTGAAACCTTGTTAGCTTTTAGTTTTTTATTGAGATCCCTGACATTAATGTAATAATGTAAATTACTATATTTTTAAATTAAAAATTAAAAATTAAAAATTGTAATTGTTTATATTAATGAGATTTTAAATAAAACCCATAATTTATAGGATTAAAAATAATAAAATATAAATTATACTCTCTATTATATTGTGTGTGTGTGTGTATACATTTATGTATGGGTACATTAACCAAAATTAACAAAAAAAGTTATTGTACCAAAACATGGATACATTCTCAAATCAACGAAAAAGAATGTACCCATATAAGTTTAAACATGGATTAAAAAATTTGAATGGATTTTATATTAAAAAAAAAAGGTACATTTTACATATAACAAATTGATATATTTGAGAATGGGTACATTTAAGATTAAAAAAATTGAAAAATTATATGAATGGGTACATTTAAGATTAAAAAATTGAGAATCTTTTTATATATATAAAAAAACTAATAGGTACAAACTTAATTTAATTTAATTTTTTATTATTTTCGAAATGTTTGAATTGAAAATTAATTAGAAGTTTAATAGAGGTGTGAGTATTAAACCTTAAATTAATTACTAATTTTTATATTAAAAAAATTATATAATAAATATGTAAATTCATTATCACATTAATGATAGAGACTTGAATCAAAATTTGAGAACTAATAAGATCTTAGTCAATACACAGTAAGAAATAGGGACCGGATACTAATTTTTCCTTTAAAATATAATATTTGTTTTTTGGATAATATATTCATACAAAATTCAACAATCAATATTTAAACTTAATTGAAATTAGCATCTTCACTCTTACTAAATGAACAATCTTGAACTGCCATGAAATTATGATTTAAGGTTCATCCATAATAAAAACAGGAGTAGAACTGAAAGAGAGATACGAAAATACGCTTGTGTTTGTGGAAGAAAGTCATACGCTAGTTTTTTATTGCTAAAGAAAAGTGGAAGAAAGTAATACACTAGCTTTTTTTTTATTGCTAGAGAAAAGGGGAACATTAATGTATTAAGTATAAGCTCTACTTAATTAATTGTAATACAAATAAAATCATATGATGATAATTTTTCTTTTCAATAAAAAAAACCTTTTTTATTAGAAAATTGGGTAAATCTTAGTTTACTACCCTTAAGTTTCGTGGTTTTCAACATTTGGTACATGAAGTTTTTTTCGTCCCAGAGTCATACCTAAAGTGTTAATTTTGGGATAGTCTCATACATCCGTTAGTCTGGCTGTTAAATCAATCGTTAACTGATGACATGGTGCCCATGTGGACAATGATTGGGCTCCACGTGTCAATATGGGCCCGCATGAATATTAAAAAAAAATAAT